GGATTTCAAATATTCTGTGTAATATTTATACTTTATAATATTTTTTTTGTAGTTTATTTTCCACTAAGTACAAATGAAAGTCGTAAATACAAGTTAATCTACTTTCTTTGTATGATTATAATTTATAATTTGTTCGTGATTACATATAGGTGTGCAACCTACAATTTGATTGCGCGTTGAAATATTGCTCCTCGGTGTGGAACGATAGATGTGCATGTTAGTCTTTCTTATTCACAGGCCTACTTACTTTGTTCTTAGTTCTCATAGTTTTTCTCACATAGAAAATGTCCCATTTGCGAGAACTACACTTGTAACAAAATAGAGCGATTATTTTATTTGATTTACGACTAAATTGAGTGGGTCTCAGTCTGTGTAGTGTACTTATATTAATACTTTCAGCCGTTATATGCGTAATCTGTACAAGTCGTTTCAATGAGCTCGTATAGTTTTGTGTTTACTCCGGTTTGCCTACGCTTGAAGATCCTCCGCCCACTGTCGTATATCGTACAATCTGTGCATCAGAAGATTAATAAAATTGTGTGAGTGTAGGTTTGTATGTGATCCCTTTTATTGCGAAACAAATTCAGGCTTAGTATTGTATTCAGGTTTCTCACGCTGTTCACTTGTCATTGAATTGATGTGCTTCGAATTAGTCCTCATCCTCATACAAAACGGTTGATAACCCTGCATTGCTTCTGCCATGATACCATGATACTGAATTCGGTTATGATGTGTATGCAATATAAAAAAGAATAGTTTCTTTCGTAGGATATGTAAACTCAAAAGTATATAAAGCATGGTGAAAGTATAAAAATTGCATTACTGACGACCCAAATTTTCTTTTTTGGGCTACTGCAGTGAAATTGATGTACTTGTGGACCGGTATGTTTTTGTGCAACGCAAGTGCTTGTAATATAAACTTATTTAACAGATTTTTTAATATTCGGGATTTGAATTCTGTCAGCATCAAATCCTTGGTCGTTTTATAGTCAGTAAAATAGTACTTAATTGACTAGAGATATTAGTAAACGTGTTTTATTCGGATGTCATTCTTGGCAATGCACATAGCATTGCCAAGAATTAATGAGAGGACTAGTATTTCCAAAAAAACTCTATTTGTGAAGACCGATGTATCTGATGTTGATTTATTTGTTATGAACAGATGTGTTAAATTTTTTACAGAAATGTTAAGCAAATACGCATTATTAGTACTATTTTGATAATGCGTTAATGAATTTAGCGCAAACTGATAAACCTATGTACTGTCCATGTTATCTATGAAACAGAAGCTTTACACAGCGTACTGCATGGTATTCAATCAATAATTATTAATATTTCGTGACTGTGTACAGTGCCCACCGATATTTGGAACGTACAAATAAAACAAAACGTTACTTACCAAATATTCACAAGCCTTAGTTTATGAAGGCTTAAACAAGCCAAATCCAACGCGATGGGCACGGACATGAAGCAGTCATGCACACACCTGTGCACATCGACCGCAACCGTGTCTATTCATACTAAATGAACCGACACTGTTGTCTAGAACTATTATTACTGGCAAGAAAGTAAATACTTCATACTTGTAGAATGGCAGGCACTAAAATAATGATTTGTGGACCTATAAATCGTGAAAACTTTCTATTGATTTTTAAATAAATGTATTAATACGGTAAATAACATGAACGCGTTATAATGTCTTGAGGCAGTGTAAAAGCGATACAAGACAGTAATGACTCAGACAATACAGCCAGGAAGAGTCATCGTGATTTCTTAGCGAACGAGTCATGTCTCCGTGGCATGGCGCCGCGAGCAAAGCATTGCAATTATTCTGGAAATGTCTGAAAGAGACATTTTTTTTATCGGCTGAGGACAAATACCTACGTCGTAGATGTCGAGCCACAAAGCTGCCAGATGAAACTGCTTGTTATTCTACGCGCGATTCTACAGATACCGTTTCTATGTTTCTTAGTGTTAACATACAAGCATTTGCAACAAGCAAGATCAGAATGATTAGAACGAATGGGACGTTAAAAGTTAAACAGTTATGTTGAATGAAGATTATATGGATGGCCACTAATGAATGGTCTTTTGTGTACTATGCGATATTTTGGTTATTGACGCCTGACGTTTCCACTAGAGGACAATACTGCATTGTCGCTATCCAATCACTCGTGTAATTGCTACCTTTATAGCTTACTATTTAGAGCCGTTATAATTGCTCTGTTAAAGCGAAGGGATCGACTTGTTTGTGTTAAGTTGTAGTGGACATAATTTATTTCGTTTTTAATATTAATACCATATTATATTACATTAATTAATACCTAATATTAATTTGATGTAAATAATCTTTTTTAACTGGATACTAACTAAGTATCATAGACGACAAGACATGTACTTGTAATTACGCATACTGCTTTACCGTTGAACAATACCTAATCTCTCGTTATTATTAGTCAGAGATGTTTTCAGCAGTGTGTCAGCGTGACTCCTTCATACAAACAATACTCTATTATAAATTTTAGTCAGTTGAGTAAACGACGACCGTGGAGCCTGTACTGGCTAATTGCCTATTTCCATGTGAATATGTGATAATATTTATCCCTATTGGGTTTAAATTGTGTTGTGCTGTTTGAAAATAATATAGATACAATATTATTACATCGTCCGTTCTCACGTTCGTGGTGCAAACATATTATGCGAGTAGTTGATAGCGGCGTGACGAGTGTTTGTGTCCTCTAGATATCGAATGATTTCAGTACAACAGAAGCATTAACTCAGTAGAATGTTAACTACGTTCAAGAAAAGACTGAGTTTAAGGAAACACAAGAACAAAAACGTTAGAAAGGAACTTGTCAGTGAAGATGTAAGTAGAACATGTTGAATGTTGAGTAACGAAACGTAACGTTCAGTGTTGGTAATTGAATGAATTCACGACTGAGCGGTGGTAAGCTTGTTGCCAGTTTTCGGTATACATTGTTTACACGTGCTTGCTCTACAAACAAACAAATTCCTTTTCGATGTTGAGTCCGTTTGATTATTTACGTTACAGTACAATGTCCGAACTGTGGTAAACACTTGCCGGATGGCTGTGTCAGTCTAGCTGTAGCGCAGAAGGCACTCAGTGCTTTATTGGCACTTTGTCGATATGCACTTGATTCATAAAGGGCTACTGATCTTATAAAGTGAACCTTGTCTTGTCTTTGGCATCGCAATAGTGTCATGTGAAATGGTGAAATGTATTTTATTCGTGATGCGCCGCGTGCCGATGTTGCAACGACTGCGCGAATATAACTGGCAGCTGTCGGAGACAGAAACCTCTCTGTACTCACCAATTTGGTTCACAGTTTCTAAGAAAATGGTTATAAATGTTCAAAATTATTTTTAAACTTCTGTGTTTAAGGAAAGGTTAAAATGGTTAATGAAAGCAACTCCTTCGACGATGTCGCTGTAAGTTGAAGGTTAACTGTGATAGTTAGGATATTGTTGACTTGAAACATCGCTTGTGGATATTATTAGAATCAACGGTCACAGACGCATTACGGTCGTCGCACTTCGCAAAACTGCATACGTGTTTGCATATCCACAGATCCACTTTCTTGTTCGTTTTGTGTTTGCCTAAACGTTCATGCGGGTCTCTTATTTATAAATATTTAAAGACGATGTATGTGCGTGTTTTAGTAACGTGTATATTATATCTGTTTATTGTTGTGTCGTGCAGCTATTGTCTTTTTGGTTCTAAATTCGATAATGATCTTATTGACTTATTGAATGGCCATTCTAGAAGTAAAATATTAGATTGTGTGCCCATTTTCACATGGATACGACTTTCTTTACTTTTAATCAGCACTTAGGATAGCGATTATATCGAACGGTTCTTTGATATTCTCTTATGGCGTTGCAGTTTAATATATAAGTACTCACTACTTATAGTTTGCTCTGTGTGAGTCACTGCTTTCGTTACTCGCACCTACGTAATTACTAGTTATTGTACGACTACGACGTGGTTTACTTGATCGACGCAACGATGCGTGTACATGTATTAGTTTTATGCAGTGAAACTATCTCCATTTGTGCAAAATACTTATTTTTATCTTCCAAATACCCGTCACTTGTATTGTCGTCCGACAAATGTGGCTCTTCTCACGCCATTCTGAGGTTTCTATACCTCTGCAATTATCTTATCCTATGTATGCTAGCTAACGTAGATGCCGAGCTATTCTTAGTTAATTATGCCTTATAGGTATATTTTGTACATTGTCCAGTAACGTTACCTTGGAATCGGTGAGTCATCTGGCGCTCGCATGGAGCCAGCTAGACCGACTCGTTCAGCTATACTTGACATGTCTGTGTAACTGCGACGATGTTGCGATACATACAACTCTCTTCATTATTTGACGGTGAATTTATGAGTTTTCGCAGCGGGAATCTCGTTAGTAAGCTCCGTTTGATGGGAATGCGCCTTGTAGCTAAAGGAATATAAGGGAACTTGTAACCATATAACACACCGATGTACTTATCTGCTAAGTTGACATCACTGTAGTAGCATATTATATAGACATTTTCCTTGCATAGAACTACAAACAATTACAAATGACGTATCTATAACGTTTTAAAGATACAATTAATTGTTCGTTTTCCTATTGTTCTATTTACTGCGATTTCTGATTGATTTATGAATCTTATTCATTGTTGGAGAATCAACCGTGAAATCATAGAAAGAAAATCACAAGATGCAATAAAATGATCGTAAAAATCCAAATCTACTGGCAAGATTACCGCTTGGACGATTATATGAATTATTAAAACTTTCAAACTGTAAAATTTGATGTACCTACTTAAAGTTTATAAATAAATAAATTTGATATTGATTATTTTAATACGCGCACTACTTACGGCCTAAAACAGGCTGGTCCTGTGTGTATGTTATGACTTTTATTTAATGAAACTGCTAATGAATACAAAGACGTTTTATTAAAAACATTTTTGTTTGATTTCAGTTACAAAGTAAACGCGAATTGTTCTTCAAATCGGACTCGGTGAGTGGTGGCGGCGTTAGTGCGACGGGCCCGCCGCTAGCTGCGCCGCCAGCGCCGCCCTCCGTGCTGAAGGACGCGCTGGCCAAGCGCGCCACCACGCTGCCCGACCAGCTCGAGAACAATCACCATGAGTCCAACGGGACCGTCACGAAGCTCAGCAACAGCGTGTCCGTGGACTCGTCCAAGCCGCCCAGCGCAGCGCCGCCGCCTACGCCCGCGCCCCCCGTGCCTACGTCGGCGCCTCCCGGAGCACCGCCTCCACTCAGGAGTACAGAAAACATAATCAAGGTAACGATGTCACCAACCACTTGTGAATTTGAATTAACTCTCCACTCATTCGGTGGGCACGCTTTAATGTTTCCTCTTCCTGTTTTATTCGTTCCGTTTTCGACTACTTCGTTATAGCGTATAGTTTTGGACATCATACATACATTATAGATATACAAATGAATCCTAATTTCCATTAGTCATGGTCAAAAGTAAAGTCCTTTCGATGCCGTGGCTCGGTTCGTCGTTCTTCCTTCGTAACAAAACAAATCACCACCACTTAGCTAGTGGAAAATATAAAAGCGTTTACCTATTTTTTTGCATACAACTATAATGGTTATTTGTTAATCTATATATCTTACACAGTATTCAATATGAACGTATAGTCAGAACAATGACAGTGTTGTATTCGTTGGAAACAAAGCGATTATAATGTTCATATAGTTTTATGAAAAAGTTATTTTGTATGCCAACCAAATAAATGCCCATTTTTGTTGTTATTTTCAGAAGCCTGATCACCCGCCAGTTGCCCCTAAACCGGAATTACCTAAATTAGAAAAACCAAAAACCAAAGAATTAGATGGATACGTCGGATTTGCAAATTTACCAAACCAAGTATACAGAAAGGCAGTGAAAAAAGGATTTGAATTCACGCTAATGGTTGTTGGTAAGTTAATAGTGGTTGTTATACATGTAATGTCTATATCAAATAGGTGTCAATCTTATATTGTATATTACATTTCTTTTATGGACAAATTATAAGATCATAGTCTATTGGTAATATAAATTAGTTAGCCTCAAAAAAGTAAAGGAAAGATGACACATTTCAAATGCAAATTAATTATTACTCATGCTACTAATATGCAGCTGTCTCATAAATAAAGTTTGTGAGTAACAAATACCTTTTATTTGCAGGTGAAACCGGTTTGGGCAAGTCAACATTAATAAACTCATTGTTCCTGACGGACGTGTATGATCGGGACAAGCACCCTGGCCCGTCACTACGAGTCAAGAAGACGGTGGGCGTAGAGACCAGCGTGGTGCTTCTCAAAGAGAATGGTGTAAACCTTACACTAACTATCGTCGACACACCAGGCTTCGGCGATGCCGTCGACAACAGTAATTGGTGCGTGATTCAAAACATCCTTTCGATTACGTTGCATGCAATAATATTGTTGTGAACCAACCACCAACACGCGAAAATTGTTTACTGACGACATTCACCAGACAGTTTACTATTATCGTTCACATATTTTCTTAATCCGCAATGGATTTATTTAATAAATACAGATACTTAGTGTCTTTATTGACTTTCATTAAAGATATTTGTCATTTATGTTTTTAGTTGGCAACCTATCATTGACTTCGTTGAGTCGAAGTATGAAGAGTTCCTGAATGCTGAATCCCGGGTGACGCGTAAGGCGGCGCCGCCAGACACTCGCGTGCATTGCTGCTTGTACTTCATCGCGCCCAGTGGCCACGGCCTGAAGCCGCTCGATGTAGAATTCATGCAGCGACTTGGTGACAAAGTGAACATCATACCAGTCATTGCCAAGGCGGATACCATGACACCGGAGGAATGTAAAGACTTTAAAGAACAAGTGAGTACTCAAGGCGGAGAGAGAGTTGTATTATCTTACAAGGAGCTTTGATGAGTAATTACTTATAGAATTCTTTCGTGCTGTAAAATTAACGAACCGTACTATGTGTTATAGATAATGAAAGAAATCAGTCAACACAAGATCAAGATCTACGATTTCCCCGAGAGCACGGGCGAGGAGGGTGAGGTGGCGGAGGCGGCGCGCTCGCTGCGCATGCGCGTTCCCTTCGCTGTGGTCGGCGCCAACACCGTCATCGAGACCGACGGCAAGCGGGTCCGCGGCCGCAAGTACCCCTGGGGCATCGCTGAGGGTAAATATACAACGCTTATACTCCTTTCAATATTTCACGCCCAAGAAAAAGCAATTCAAATATCGATGCTTCCGGCAACAAATGTCGTAAACGCCATTTTAGCGAAAATGAGTTAAGAATGCAGCCCTACTTAATTTTTGGCGCTGCGTCGATCTAAAAATGTGAAAAAAATATTCGCCTAAAAAAACATACTTTTACACCCAAAATTTGTACTAGTATAATCTAGATTTTTTTGAAAAGAGGGTATGTATAACTCATATTGCTTAGAACCGAATAACCGTGCAGGTCGTATAATACAACGTACAAACAGCTGTCGGTCGTAAAAACATGAATACATAATTAATTGTAATTACACCCCACAATCATTTTTAAAACGTAAGCCCTGCTGAGAAACAATTGTCGTAATGTCACTTGGTCTTGGAGAATTTGTTTGAAAAATTAATTATGTAGGTCGTTTTTTTTTTATGTAATAGGTCGGCAAACGAGCAGACGGATTACCTGATGGTAAGCAATCAGCGCCGCCCATGGACACTCGCAACGGAGGAGTTACGAGTGCGTTGCCGACCTTTTAGGGATTAGGGATTGAGGAGGGATTGGGGAAGGGGAAAAATTGGGCCTCCGGTAACCTCACTCACACGGCGAAACACAACGCAGTGGTTATTTCACGCCGGTTTTCTGTGAGGCCGTGGTATCACTCCGGTCGAGCCGACCCATTCGTGCCGAAGCATGGCTCTCCCACACTTAAACGTACAGCGTACTCCTAATTTTTTTAATAGGGTCAGTCTCATATTGTCATTGATACTCTTCCTGAGACTGACGAGGAAGATGAAATTTCTGATTAATTATCTTCTATCACAAAATCAGGTCTTCAAATTTCAGGTTAATAATCTTCTATCCAATGACAGATGAGAAGAGTTATAGATAAATCAGAAATTTGAAGACCTGATTTTCTATAACTCGTCGTCGTTTTATGTTTTGCATCTACTTTTTTAATATCTTGTCGATAACACTTTACCATTTTCACCAACGACACTAAAAGTTAGGTTTAGACCATAGTACAGAAGCTTTCCGAACAAACAAGATCTAGAAAGATGAACTACCTAAATTTTTAAGGGCGTTGGTGAAAATGGACATTGCTTGGTAGAAGACTTACTTATATTTTTTTTGTAATTCATTATAAATACGTTTTAAAAAAAATGTCGTGATTATAAAATCATCTTGAAATCCATGAAACATAATGATTACTTAACATTTTGAATTATGTCTGGCTGGTTAGGTACGTCGTAGGAGGTAGAACACTATAGGCATCTTGTAACAAACGCTTGATTAAATTATATACGGGAAGATGCCTATAATATACTTACTTAAGTGTATTTTTATACCTTTAGGACCTGCCAGTCGAAAGGACTATAGACTTTCGCTTCAGATATTTCCATGTTTGTTACATACCATCGCATCAGATCGTGGTGTTTACACTCATTTTTATTTCAGTATATGGTTTTTAAAACCAAACCCAGAACTATTGTATTTAAAAACTGGTGCATACTTCTAACTTCCGTTAGACAAATCGTTCTCCATTGATTTGTTAGTGGTCGTAAATACCAACTTCTTGAATTTTCTGGGGTGTATGTCCAAGCTAACTTTTAAAATAAGGCTTTGACATAAATATCAATAATATATTATGAAACACCATCGTATTTTACGTATTTCTTGTATAGAACACAATTTTACAACTTTTAAAGTTAAAAAGATATAAGCCAAAAACGAAATTATTTTTTGTTTTTCGTTGATTACCAAAAGTGCTATTTTGGTGTTTACGACCTTTGTTGTCGGAAGCATCGATATATTCCTTATCATACTAAATTTTAATGATTTTCAATAAATTTACAGTTGAAAATCTGGAGCACTGCGACTTCTTAGCATTGCGCAACATGGTAATTAGGACGCACCTCCAAGACCTGAAGGACGTGACCAGCTCGGTACACTACGAGAACTACCGATGCCGCAAGCTCGCCGGCTTGTCTCACGATGGAAAGCCGCACAGGATCAACTCCAACAAGTAAGACGAATGTTGCCAACATATCTTTCTGTCGCCACATTCCGCTCTCCATGTCCATATAGCCAACTTGTGCTAACAATTTAACTATTTAAATCAAATGTTTTACCTGTTTCTCTGGTCTCCGTAGATCTTCTGATAATGTTTTTGAAACAGGCATGATTAGATCTAACAACCTAAGTAGACAGGGTTGCTGGAACATACGTATCTTTAACGATATTATAACATTTGTTTATTTTATTACTGCTGTCACCGCATTTAAGGTGACCAGACTTATTTTTGGATTTTCATGGACTAATAACAATAATAACATTAACTAACATTTCAAACATTAATCGAGTGATTTAATTATTTGTTCATTGCTGCATGTCTGGTCACCTTTAACATTAACTCTTCTATTACTGTCGCAGTTGTGTGCTACAGAGTTTTATTTTATTTTTAATATCTTAGATACATTTTATTAAATAGCTCTGCATTGATATTCTTTGATTACTGAACGTTCTGTGCTTGGGCATGCAGAAATGAAATATTAATTGTTAATGTTTATCATAACCTCTGTGTTTCATGGGTTATTTAAAAACCATATACATTATAATAAATTGATAACAAGTGCTTGATTTTTAAATAACCATGATGGATATCATATATCATAATAACTTGCAGTTCACTCGCTTACACAGTGGCATTAATAACAATATATTTGTCTTTATGTTTGTTTCTGAGACAGTGACGCTTGCAAGTAATTTGCGTGCGTTACACACTACTGCACACTGATTTCCCAGTCATTCACTTGTGTAATAAGTTCATGAATGTATTGGTAAACTGTCTTTCGAATAAATGTAGGCTTACGTCATACGGAATATAAAAAACGTAACTTGTGTTTTTATTCGTTACGAATGCAGCACATTGATGCATATGTATTGGAATCCGTGTATTAAGTATTTACGCAATAGCCGCATATTTTGCTTATGTGTTTTATTGTTGTGAGTTTTTGTTAATGCCACTGTGAAGTGTTTGCGGGTCACAGCCGTGTGTCGTTAACTCTGGTTGTGTTGGTTCAGTTTGTGCCCGCAAGGATTGATGAACAGTTTCATGACCGTTTGGTAAGTCCGTCGCGACCGACGTATTTTCATAACTGCAGCTTGTACACATAGCACGGTGTTTATTGTTGTGGCCTACCTAGTGCCAAACATCCAGACTGTGATATCAATCATTGAACGTTTCTCTATCTGCTTTGATAGAGAAATTATGGTTCAATACACTTTTAGTATCACAGATCTGGATACATTTTCCTTTGCCATGCTTTATTTTTATTGCATTGTAAGCTTAAACTTTGATAGATTCTGCATAAGTTACATTAAAGACAGTTTGTTTAGAATTAATTCTCATTCCGTTTGCGGAATATTGTATAGTGCGTTAGTCTTTAATCATGGTGTGTACAAAATTTCATCAGAATCCGTTCAGTAGTTTTTTGTGTGAAAAATTACAAACATCCTTTATTAGTAATAGCTTTACGGCTCATTGGTTCAGTTCGACAATCTAATTACGAATATTCATATACTTACATATACTTTAGCCGATAAAGTTAATTTACATAAAGTTTAAGCTTGCTGGCAATCATTGATTTATGTACTTCATTTATAAATGTGTAGTTTATGTATCTTAAAATGTTATCGCTTTTGTTCTAATGCATGCTTTGCTTTTATATGTCGGCTTCATACTTTCTAATAAGTTCAGCGGATGTACAGGAATGCGGACTATCGGCTCGCATGTTAAATAACTTTATCCTTATTGTAGAAACGAAGGAATTGTTCCCGTCAACTGATCCCAATTGACAAATTGGTCTAGGTGAATTGGCCGTCGTTTAAACGTGACTGGCCAACTGTGTCCCACATTTCACATTGCGCTTTGCCCTCCTTTTGTCTTTAGAAGTACCTATTGATGCGATATTTTATTAGACATGATATGAATGTACATACATTAATAAACAAATACATTACACTACATTTGGCCACAGAACCTTTTCTTGGTTTTTGCATGACTTTGATATTTTCTTTGTATTATTCATTTATTTTACATTTTCTGTACTTCCTTTCACTGTTGGTTAATTATTCGGATAGTTTTAAATGTTAATATTTGTTCTCAGGAATCCTTTGGCTCAAATGGAGGAAGAGAAGCGAGAACACGATCTTAAGATGAAGAAAATGGAAAGTGAAATGGAACAGGTCAGTGCCGTTTTAATTACCATGCACCTAGCATAAAACAATATTTAAATATTATAAAACATTATCAGTCTATACTAATACTAGCTCTTACCCGCGGCGTCGCACGCGTCATTTGACTACCTACCCTGCTTTACCTACCCTACTCTACCTACCCTAGTCTACCTACCCCACTCTACCTACCCTACTCTACCTACCCTACTCTACCTACCCTAGTCTTCCTACCCTACTCTTCCTACCCTACTCTACCTACCCTACTCTACCTACCCTAGTCTTCCTACCCTACTCAACCTACCCTACTCTACCTACCCTACTCTACCTACCCTACTCTATATACCCTACTCTACCTACCCTACTCTACCTAAACTACTCTACCTACTCTATTCTATGTCCTTCTCCTGGCTCTAAACTACCTCCCTGCCAATTTTCAGCTAAATCGGTTCAACCGTTCTTGAGTTATAAGTGGTGTAACTAACACGACTTTCTTTTATATATATAGATTATAAAGAGGTAAAATTTTTAAGTTTGTATGTAGGAGGTAATCTTTGGAACCGCTGGTCGGATTGCCAAAATTCTTTCACTGATAGATAGCTACAATGTCCCTGTGCTACAGGCTACAAAACATCACGCTACAATTAAATGGTGCCGCGGGTGAAACCGCGAGAGAGTAGCTAGTTAGTAATAAATTTAATGAATACGGTAGTTTCCAACTAGTCAAATTCAATACTTTTATCCAAACGACAAAAACGATACTTTTCTATGAAATTTGTATGAAAAGCTGAGTTATGACGTCATAACATTTTTGCGTCAAATAGCTTACTTATTTCTTAACAATTAACTAAAAAAATCTAAAACTTAGTGTATCGATCGATCGATGAATAAAAGTATAGTTATTTTTCGATATTTTAATGTATTGAAACGTCGAACTAATTTATTTTTGACCTAGGAAACTATCCAATTACAAGATCAGGCACATATCTCGAACCACAATTATGTGCGATTATAGTGTACTTATAGAACCCAATCACGTATGGCCTGTCCAATTGTCCACACACAGTCAATCATTATAATTTATAACATAATTAAAACGGAAGTGTATTCGTGACACACATCCACATAGCATGTCATGAGTACAGTGGGTCTTTTATTTATTGTTAAATTTCTATAACGAAATATATTTATTATTGTGATTGCATCCGATATGGACCTTTTTGCTCGTCTGGTTGTTTGTGTAGCAGCCTGCCAAAGGTAACGGTCCTGCTCCAAATAGCTCTCAATAACACAATTTACTGGTTTATGATGTGATGTGACATCTAGTAGGAATACATTTGTTTTAAGCTCAGCTAGTGATGCATAGCTTGTTCCATAGCTGGTTGTTGAAAGAAATTATAATAATTGCCTCTTACGTGTCGTAGATGGCACAAAACTGGTATCTTTGAGGTATTCGAAATTTTGTAGATATTGCGCAGATTTTTACCTTTGCACCTGATTACATACATGGGGTTTTTAACATTCGTAAATAGGTAAATCGATTTGATTTAACTAATTATTTTATTTTTGATTGCAGGTGTTCGAAATGAAGGTCCGCGAGAAGCGAGCCAAGCTGAAGGAGTCGGAGGCGGAGCTGGCTCGGCGGCACGAGGCGACGCGGCGCGCGCTGGAGGCGCAGGCGCGCGAACTCGACGAGCGCCAGCGCGCGCTGCACGCCGAGCGCCTCGCCTGGGAGCGGGACACCGGACTCTCGCTCGACGACCTCCGTCGCCGCTCGCTCGAAGCCAACAGCAAGGAGTACGTACTGTCTCGCTTCTTACTCTCTACTCGCTTCTTACACTCAGATTCACCAAGACTTTAACTTACTCGAGTGTTATTCCTTAGTTTTTTAATTATAGTGTACCACTTAGGACTTTATAACAATATAGAAATGCTCAATTACTTAGAGCCATGTTTCGGCACGAATGGGTCGGCTAGACCGGAGTGTTACCACGGCCTTACAGAAAACCTGAAGCAATACTTACGTTATGTTTTGAGAGTGAGGTTGTGTGAGTAAGGTTACCGAAGGCACAATTCTTTCCACCCCCCATCCTCAATCCTCAAATCCCCTATCCATAAATCCCGACTAACTTAGAATAGGCCGGCAACGTATACGTCCATGGGCGGCGCTGATTGCTTACCATCAGGTAATCCGTCTGCTCATTTGGCGACCTATGACATAAGCTACACATTATCGAGGAATTTAATTGCATGTACTATGTTTTATTTTATGTGTTGATATTTCGAGTCTAATCTATTGTAATTAACGTTTCAGAACTGTCGACGGCAAGGACAAGAAGGATAAGAAAAAGAAAGGTTTGTTCTAAACTCGACCACAGTCTCGTCGGCCTCGCACCCACCGTTACTTGCGTGACTAACCTCGCGGCGCGCACGGCGCCACATCATCGATCGAGTGTCGGTTCCCTCGGTCGACACTGCGTTCAAATATAAATTATCGAAATCGACAGAAACGAGGTCCGAGTACAAATACAAATTTGATTCCTAAAATCGTGTTTTAAACTTTAAAAATAACGAATCATGCCTTGGCGTTCTGCCTTTTTATTCGTCAGTACCGAATTACCCGAATAGCTTCGATCGATGATTTTGTAGTACATAGCTGTAATGCTAATTGAGATTCTGACTGCATTCTCACTGCAGTTTCCAATTCTGTTTCAAACTTACTGTATGAAATTAATTTCAAATTCTATAATGATTGTTACTTCAAACTTAACGTTAAAGTAATAGGTACTATACGTATTAAAATACTATTTGCCTTGTAAAATAGAATATCAGCATGAATTCCATTGATTCTACAGTTGACAAGCCCTTCTTTTACTGGGACTGTACATATCGTGATTGTTTGAAAAACAGATTCCATGATTGACTTTATATTCTGATTTTGACTTCGGGAAGCGAGATTTGTTACATAAGCGTTTATTTGTGATCCTAACTCTGGGTTATATAGTGCCATTTCAGTGTTGTGACGGGTCGGACTGTCGTAAACACAAATATTAAATTTGTCAAGTGTAAAATTGCTTTCTGTCTTCTGTCCAGCAATTTGTATTCACAATAAGCGTTTGTCTCACTAATTAATTTACTTCTAACTTGTACTTTTGTATATTGAGGTATCTCTGTGACTAAATCACTCTTTTGGTGACTGTTCTTTTCCGAAATTGGACAGTGAATGACCTTTTTACTTGTAATAAACCTATTAAAAGATATTTTCAACAAATATATCACAAAAGCAAGCAAACTCATGAACCATTTTAACGCAATAAGTAAAAGGGTGTGCCACTGAACCTCACTTGAAAATGTTTTGCCAAAAATATTGTAATTTATAATATTCTTGTAATTTTACGTCACGTATTGAGATTTTTTACGTCATTTGCAGATTGGTCTTTTAAGAGTGTCGCAACTGGAATAGTAATATAATAGGACAACAGTCCGCACACGACGCACTTTATAATTAGTAACTTGTAGTTGTACGGACTTAGCATAATGAGACAACGATTAATGAAGACTACAGGATGTAACTATGTAACTGACATGCGTTGAGGAAGTTAATGCGAAATTCACCACAATTCTGTGCTGTATGAGATTACTTTTGTATGTATTTTATTTATAAGATTTTTCCATGACAAAGCATTTATTATAATAAGTGAGGCCTAATTTTATACTTCTTGTGTTTCCAAAGGGTTTTGTAAAACAGATTTTATATGGTTATTTTTTATTTTTGGTATGTAAACTGTTTAGCTGTTAGCAGCGTTGGATTTAGCACAAACAATACTACAGCTTATGAGTAGATATTTACGTCCATAAAGATGCCAAATAGCTTATAATATCGGTATACTTTAATCGAAGACGAATATCTAAAGTTTTATTGTATTTGTAATGTACTATGTTTATTAACACTAGATAGACAACTCAATCAGAAACGTGATCGATTCAGCTCAATACCAGGATGAAATTATACATAGGCACTAAATCTATATCTTTACTGATAAATATAGCATAATAAAATTACAGGATAATAATGTTTGAGATATATTTATGTTTACCGCTTTTGTTTCTTGTTATATTTATAAGTAGAGAGAGAATACTGTAGCTATTCGAAAAGTTCGCATTAGGTAATTCACCATTCTAAATTTTAAAATGAATTAGATAATAAAATAATATTTTTTACTTCTATATCATTACAAATTGTAATACGGTTTCGGCTTATCGGTGCATTCGTACACCAGTCCGAGGTTTGATTCGCACGGCGTTTGTTATAACTATACAAAGTTATATTGTGCTTAGTGATATTAAAATATGCTCATAGTTCAGTTGTGAAATAGAATCTAGCTCTAGCTAGTTGATAGCGTTTCTTTATAGTAACGGATAAGGGAATGTAAGGATCTCTCACCAACAATAAAGGCGAACGCATGGAGCAGTCTAGTATTATACTGAATCCATAATCATTATGTTGTCACACTTCAATACATGCTATAAAGTTACTGTTGTTTTAATATCTTCTTAAGACTTGTATTCAACAATATACCGCTTATCAGTTAGCAATTTATGTTAGGTTATGTAAATATTTTGTTTAGTCATTACTACCTTACGAGCAAAATATATATTATCAGGTTTTGTTACTAAATGACACGTTATTTATGAGACATGCATAATCTTTATTTAACCAGCATGCAATGTTATAATAAATTTGTATTATTTCCTCCACTACAGTATTGACTTCCGCATTAAATTTAGTAATTTAGGTGATAAGATTATGCTTAATTTTGTATTTTGTGTAGGGTAACAGCCCATTACCATACAGATCATTTGCTTAGTCAGTACGATGGACTTGTGATGTGTGTTGGGAGAGGAGGGAAGTTCAGACGATGTAATATATTGTACCTTTGAATAAATATAAATAAATACGTAATATATAGGAGTCGATCGTTTTATTTACACACCGGCCACCTTGCCAAGCGTCCTTTATTGCGATGGAATAATAAAACAAACTAATTCTCGTATGAATTCTCATTTATTTGGTGATGTAATAGATCACGTACACAGTGTTATTACATTCGTCGACCACATCAAAATACAATCCATAAATTCACGAACAACCTCAAAATATTCTGTTATGTAAACAACGTTACTACATCTAGATATAATATTAAATATCTTTGGCAGCACTATGGAAAATATACTTCTACTTATAATAATGAAAATGCAACTTCAAATATATTATAACAATCACAACAGTTTATCGACAATACAATCTTTATACACAAAGTAACATTAATTTGATTTGAAACATTCGACGATACGTGTTAACTAAGACATCTTCACTGAATTTAATTCTATCAAAATTAATTTATTTACAATATCTATTCATTTATCGGGGTTTTACTCCTTCAGGGTAATCAATTTACACATTACTTGTAAGAGAATAATAGAAAATATATGTAGATATTATACTTAAGTACTTTGCACATCATTGTATGTGTTCTTACGCTAGTGTAGTACGCACGTGAATATTATTTCATTAATTCACTTTTTTATGCTGTTTATTTAAATATTATTGCATTTTATTGTATCCGCGCGGTCAAAACCGTGGCAAGGTATTAGGCATTCAACGTTCGGAAGCTCAGTTTTATTACATTAATTTATTTATTTAATTAGTCTGAAATCATAATGATCTAATAATGTACTACTCTTCTTGAAGTGCAAATAATAATCCTTAATGTTCCCTTACTCCTAAATTGTATCCTTGCTTTAGATTGCTCTGCGTCGAGGTAGGTCAAACAGTTTATTTTACAGGCCATTCGTTAACTATCAACTAATTATATCGCGCTCCTACTGTCCCCTGCTAAGTGATCATTTGCGTATAGGCAACTTCAAATTTAGCATTATGTTTATCTATTTCTAACTATTATAGATGAATCTCTTGCTAGGATCTCTTGCGTCGAGGTCCCGAACTATATACCTTGTCTATAATATAACTTAACTATTAAGTACATAATAATTTAGTATTTATTTGGTAACTATCTTGGTGTTCTTTCGTGTTACTAAAGTTAATAACTATAAAAACGTTGAAATTAAAGGACGTTGTACTAAATCTCGATAAGTATCTTGTAATATCACAAATCACTGTATCGCTAACTCTACTTATACTCTAATCAATTACTTATGATATCGTTATTGTGATGAACGATTCTTTTTGAGTACTTCACTATTATTTTATTTTATGATAAATAAATTATTCTCTTGGAATATTTGTGTAACGGTGCTAATTAGCTAAACGCTAAATTCTAAGCGAGGAGGCACAATGGCACAGCTATTGTATTCACGACCTACAAATATACGTATGTACTCCAATGATATTATGACAAGTAAATAATACCGTGTATTCGTTAACTTTATACCATGAAATGACCATGATCCAAGCAGTGACTGTTAATTGTAGTGACGCGCCGGGCTTTTCGATATACTTCACACGTTGCTCGACTGACCGTTCGGGTTTGGGATGTCTTCAGACTCCCATAGGAATAACTTGATTGATGCTAATGCCTGATCCAGAATTGTTTTGGCACAATTCATTTATGAACACAACAGTATTATGAATTATGCTAGACGTACTTAGCAATACAATAACGCCAATTAACTTTAAATTTATAACCCTAAAGAGCTCTGAATAGAGCATTTGCAACCATTTTAATTTATCATATTTCGTATAAAAGCAATTTTCATTTTATAATTAATGAATACCTAGCCCATGATCGAGAAACATGTCACTTCACTAAGTTTAGTGAAAATCCTTAATAAACTTAATTGTTATTAACAGTCAAAGCAGTTACGCTAATCTTTGTTCTAACGTTACGTGGCCACATGTTCGATTCACAACTCTTCTTTATAAAGCTTTATCAAGCTCTTTACATTAGTTATAATATTGTGGATAACTAGTCTAATCTCGTCTCGTATTACAATTGAAACTGACTTATACATAATTATTAGTATTCTAGATTAATACATTAGGTACTATAAAGTAACTAAGAAGGCAATAAACAAGATTAAAGATTAGTTAAAGTAGTCAGTATCGTATTAGATAACAATTTCGTAAGATATAAGTAACTATAGATAATACGAAAGCCAACATCGTTCACATAGTTAGTTTAGAAGAGTAAATGCTAATAGTATGATTGAAACAAGCGAAGTGTTATATAGACCGATGTTAGATACGAGCACAGAAGACAGGCACCGTTGTGTCGGCGACAGGCACAGAGTGAGTGACATCGTCGTAGCGGTGGCGCGAGGCGAAGCGATACTCTACTGCGCACTGTGTACTCTTAAATACAGTGAAGTATTAACTTGCGGCTGGCTTAACAACTACTTACATACGTAATATTGCGTCAATTAACTATACGTATTAAGTCACAGTACACAATACATGTTCTGAAACATTCGTGCAATTATAAAAATGACATACCTTTTACCTACCTTCCGGTGGGGAACAACATTGTAAATACCTACTGTAATTTGGATATACCTACCAGATATCTATTAACATACTGTGCTTTACTTTCGTTCTATTACAAAAATATATTTCGAAGTAAGAACAATAAACTACTAAACCTGTCCGCAGGAGTAGGCACGCTCGTATATTTTTAGTATATTTCTAGTACGACAATAAAGCTCTTAAACACTAAATAACGACTTTGTCGTTTGTCTGTAGGCTGTTGAAACTATAACCTACAAACTGATATGTTCATTATTGCCGTGACATGTTATTTGATCAGCGGTGTTGCAGACATGCCGCATGCCGGGCGATACGCGTCTACATGCAATGCAGCCCTGCGCAGTACATTGCAGCATGCATGAGCGGTTGGAGAACGGGTGCCCGCGTTCTGCGCCGGCGCCGGCGTGAGTCAGTAGCCGAGGTCTATATAACACTGCGTTTCTGGGCGACGTGGGAGTTGCTGGGGCAACCACCAGAGTCAATTTCCCTCATCTTAATATTAAACATCCTCCCCGTCGGAAAGATGACGTACGACATCCATTAACCACGGTACACACATGCAACACACATCTATTTGTTCCGTTTCACAATCATGCAATGTACACAGCCGCACGCGCAGCTCGCATTATGTCAATATGACCGTATTCTAATGTATGTACACCAAGTCGTCGAAGAGAAATGACTAGAATGCGGTAACATCGAATGCAAGAGTAACACTGTGTCGTTCTGAAGTATAATGTGGTAAAGTAGCATGTTCTGAAATAAATGTCGCCGCCGATGCCAAATGAAAGTGAGGAAGCGGTCGTGCATAACGCAAAACAAAGTGCAACAGGACCACGGAGAGTGCAGTAAGGGTGCGTAGAGAAGTAGGTAGCTTAGGTGTAAACGATAGTGAAGGTTAGTATATTACATACATATAATAAAGTTAGTAGGATTAGAAGTACTTATAGTAACAGGCTTAAGAGAGGGAAACTTAAAAAAATATGCTTCTCTGTGTAGTTTACGTATTAATTGTAACAATGTGTAACATTATGAAAGTGTAACAAGTATTATATTATTGTACGATTTCACTCTTCTTAATTATTGATCACAAATTGTTCTGTTCATAAACTGGCTGCAACTGTCTGTATAATATGTTTTATCAACTTTATCATATAATTTAGCACTGAAAACTACGTTCGAGGAAAAATATGTTTAAATATTGTGGTGTTAACAATGAAGGCCCTGATTAAAAGTAGTAACAAGGTATTATCTTATAATTATTTATTACTTTCGATCCACAGCCAAATGCGTTGCGTCCGCACGCTTGCGATCTAGCATTTAAGAGTAAAAATACTAAGAGTTGAGTTGAGTAGACGCTTTGTGTGTCGCAAGTGCTCTGCAGAAACTTACTTTGTATATCGTACTGTCCATCTTATTATTAATTAATTGCTACAAACGATTAGATAACGGCCTCTTTATGCGAGTTATAATCATTTGTGAGCAAGGGTTGTCGGATGGCGAGTACCACACGCACGCACGTCTAAATGCATTCGTTAGGCATTGTGGCGCAGTTACACATCAGTGCATGTGGTCCCCAGTGCCGGCACCGTGCTAGAGATACATAAAGCTGCACGAAATGCCGTTCGTTGTGTATACGCCTCATTTAATCCCACATTTTCTCTAACCTCTTTTCTTTCTTTTAATACACCTTGCTAATTTCAGCATTTATACCTGTTCATAATTTTCAGCTGAGGCTGAGCAAACACTCAATACGCTAAACTAACCAAAGCTTACTTGATACATCCAACCGACCATTTTGTTTAGGCATTGAAGTACAGTTTTGTGTATATCAGCACCGTGCCGGTTCTGCCGACTTCAGGCGACGAGTTGTTCCAAGACGTTTAAGTCTTTAAAACAAGAGGAAGCTGACCCTGGTCCGGCGCGCGTCGCCCTTGCCGCGCCGGCCCATGCCGTACTGTCACATGGCTGTATCCGAGCTGCTCCCCCCCGGCTTGGCGTCACCGCCGACTCCTCCGCCTGCATCCTCGTCCCGCGCTGTGCCGCGCCCGCCTGCGCTTGCACCTCCCGCCGTAAGACCCGTGAAGTCCAGGTTGTACTGTACGCCATACAAAACTCCAGTTAGCAGGGTTGTACAAGAAAACAATGAATTTTACACAGAGGAAATTCATTATTAAAATATCCCTTTTCAATAATTGGATTGAATAAACACATATTTTCAAAAAAACCTTTTTAAATTATTGTAATCAGTTATGCTTTTATTTAGAAATGTTGGTTAGACTCAACAAAACTCAATTGATGACAACACTAACAGCAACAACAAACACCATGCTCGCGAATCAATTTCTTGCAAATAGTTAAAACAATAATCAAACAGCTCCATTATGAGTACTCAGTATTTATACATTTAAATTTATATTTTTGGCACAAGGGGAAATAGGCGTTATTGTAATATTAATAGATTAAAAGTTCAAAGTACGAAAATATATTGGTTAATTGACATTAGATAAACTGCGCAAAAATTTACTTATAATAGAAAAAATGTTGATTCACTAAAGTTCATGTTCGGTTTATTAACTTTAAAGTGAATAAATAAAAAAAATACCACACAGATACTAATCTAAGTATAATAATAAGTTATCAATCGCAACATCACACCAACAACATTAAGAATAGCTATGGATTACACCAAACAATGCTACACTAAATCCACGGATAGTAAATTGGTCAGTCTGTTAATGATTTGCTTTCGTTACAAACTGAACTCGAAACAAACCACAATTCTGAATCCACAAATACCTACATCAACCATTCAGAACACTATTTTCACTCTTATACGTGGATGCTTTTTGCAAATTTGGCTTCCAATGCATAGGAACTCTCTCAGGCATACATAGGGAATACTGAAAATAAATATAACAAAATAATACGTACAAAACAAAATGAGAAATGGAAGAAGCTTAAATAAAAACGTAAGTAAATAAATTAAAAGTTACTGGACATGTTTTTACACATATGTACGATGTACAAAACAGGAAAGGGGAATTGTAAACGTTTATGAGTTTAGCCATAATTGTAACATAATAGGATTTAGCGAATATAATTTGTTTTACATGTAGAGAGGAGCCTATATATCATTGTTAGCTTACGTAGGTAGCTACGTGAAAACAAATATGTTTGTATACGAATGGTTTATAATGAACGTGCTGTACTACATATACTTCGATACACATATAGATACGTGAACAAAGTGATACTTTATAGGGGGTGCAAGACAGAGACAGACCGAGTCGTCCCTCGTCTGTGCTGAAGATTTGTTTATCGCTTTGTCCAGCGGAATAAGACCCTGGAGTGGACGGAACCACCCGGTGCATGAAGAAAGGAAAACAGATACAAAAATAAATACAACAATAACAGTAAACAAAACTGGGATTCTTCATATTTAAACTGCTCTATTACTATTTATAAAACTATGATCTAATAAACTAATGAGATTTATTCTTGCTGTTATTGAAACTTATTTTATGGTTTACAGAAACAGTAGTATATTGTTGATAAAGAATAAGTGTCATTCAAGAATAAACCTCGTTATTTTAATCACACTGTTTCACCGCTTTCCCGAAACTCTAACAATCACGAATGAAATATAATCTTTAAAGTACTTAACAGGTGCAACACTCTGGTGCCTTTTAACCACTCCCACACGGGCCTCCCACGGCAAAGGTACCTATGGAACATTATGTTCCAATGCACTAAAATCTTTACATTTCCTAGAAAATTTACTAATCTGTCAAAAAGTGCGATGTGTTGCTCGAAAAAGAAATTTAAAAATGTAATTGTATGGTCAAATGAGTTTATAGAGTAAGTGGTCACCTTGTTCGCGCAGTCGAAACATGTAGTGACGACTTTACTTATAACGTTCATGAGGTGTTTGGTCTCCTGTATGACGTTGTCTACTTTGCTGAAGGTGGCTGCGCGCCCCACCGTCGGCTCCTTCACTGTGAACTGTAGCTGTTGCACATACGTCGGCACTTTATCAAGATGCTCCAGCAGTTCTTTTTTCGTAGCTCCCGCTGGTACCTTGAAATGTATTCCATATTTTTGTCTCATTACCAGTAATTCGTAAATATTTCGTTTCGCTAGTTGTTTAATTTACCTGATAAGAAAATTGTCGCACTATTTTATAAAGTCTATTGGCTTCCTCTGCGAAATATTCCGCTTGTGTGAAGAGGTCTTGAGTAGTGTTTAGACGGCCTTCACCTTTTGTGAATTGGTACATAGCGAAGGCCATGGAAGACATATTTTTTGCCCTGGAAATTTATGAAGAACGTTTTGTATTTATGAAAGTATAAAAATTTGGTATATGTACAGTAAATTCGTACAGAATAAAGGTACCTCTTCACAATGTCGTTGTTTTCGTCGGCAGCTGCTCCCTGCCATTTTTCAGTCTCAGCATCCATTTCAGAGGACATCATTTTCATTTCTAAACCGGATTTTGCGATTTTTGCTTGCTCGTCCGAATCTAACCTTACTGCTTTCAGAGGCTTGCTTGTTGTCCCATGTTTCTATAAAGGAAATTAACATCCATTAGCTATGTTTTATATAAATCCCGGTTGAAAAAAACTTCTAGATGAAAACTAATCATATCTCCCGAAATTATCATCATTTCCATTTAGTTTTCATTGTAATATTTTTATGCATGCTTAGTAGGTATGTTGGCTTTAGCTTACCCCAGGCCTCGGTAAACTGCTATACTGCTGTTTGTCGGGTCTGTCGTCAGTGAGGTCGAGGAGCTCGCGTGCCAGACGGGCGGCGTCGGCCAACAGCCACGCCCACATGTCGACGAACACGTCGAGGTTCTCCCGCGCCGCCGTACTGCCAGGGTGCGCCGCCAGCGTCCGCGCAGCCGTCACCACTTGTGGACCGTATATCCTAAGATTTATTTCTGCAAACTTTGCACTCACTTGCAAAGTCTCCGACAAAGCTATATGCCTTAATAATTTGCAAACCTGTCGGTAAAAACAATATGACATTGTACATCTTAGCCATCCGCAGCGGCTATCCACATTCAGGCGGAAGTATTATAAGTTACCTCTATTATGTGATCTAATTGTTCATGGAGCCGGCTGGCTATATTGTGCAGTCTCTCTGATTCTCTCTCACCACAGGAACTAGCTGCAGGTAAAAATAGTCTGTTAATCATGTGTCTGGCGACAGTTTGACGTGCACATCTAGTGAACTATGTTGTATTGAAACCCAGGAAGCCGTGAAAGTACATGCAGCTCTTTAATGTGTTAGTGTTAGTATAATACTGTATACCTGCTTGTTTACCTATATATGCTAGGTCGGAGGCGAGTCTCTTCGCTTCGTCCGCGAGGGGAGCGAGATCTCGCGCTTGATCGCGGGCTGCAGCTACTAGCGCGCGTTCAAGCTCCGATGCGGCGCTGGTCGCGCCTGTGCAAGCACTCTCGAGTGCCGTCGCAGTACCACTGGCACCTTGCTCTTCCTAAATCATGCACACTTAATAAAATCTTTATACTAGTCGACCATTACAAGCGATGGTGGTAGCTTACCAGTGAAACAGCGACAGCAACTAGTCTCTCCAATTCGTAAGCAATTCTTTCAGCTAGGGCAAGTATCCGTTGTCTATGTTCGTGCGAGGTATATGCGGAGTCTGTAAAATCGTGCGTGCGCTCGACGAGCGCGCGCAGCGTGGAGGCGAGCGAGCGTCGGCGCGTGATGTCGGCGCCGCCGCGCGCGCGCGCAGTTCTCACCTGCCCCGTTAGACCACGTAGAGCGCCCAGAGCCGTGCCCGCCTCCCATTGCGCAGCCTATACATTGTCTGCATTTTAATATAACACACATAATCCAATTTTGAGAAAGTGAAAAATAGCAGTTTCCTACCTTACACTTATCTAATCACGGGACAACTAAATACCTACAGAAAATAAGTGATACATTTTAGCTTTGAAAAAAGTGAAAAATATTTTCAAGTATATAATAGTGAAATAAAATTAGTGCTAGATCTAATAAGCGAAACGACTCACATTTTGGAAGTCTACATAATATACCTATGTATGTACCTATGGTCATATTATTCATACAGACTTAGTTTACTCACCACATTACAGCTCTAAGGTTTAGGTTTTGAAAACCTAAACAAAGGAAGTTTTGTACATACCTATAAAGTTAGGTAGCGGGAAGCTTAGCCAGGCCGCTATAGTTAAGCTGTTTGGAGCGTGGTCATTAGCAGTTTGTGACGAATAAAAATTTTGATCGTTAAAAATTTAAAATCTATAACTACGTTTTATAAAATACTGGTGCTTTTTACGTAATGCGAGTTTATAGAACGAAATACTTCCTCAAATATAATTAAACCTGAAATATAAACGAGATCAATGGGGTACTGAGAGCGATTGAATATTATTTAATTTGCTAAATTTAATAATGCCTAAAGTAACTAAAAGACATTGAAAAATTGACAGTGATAAAATTAGAAAAAGTCGATAGATAAATAAAGAAAATTACAAATATAGTGAGGAAGCAAATTGCAAGGAACTAGACATACAAAATATACACGAAAAAAAGATTAAAAATTAAAGCATACAAGAGAATAATCTAGTGCTTATTATGTACAATAAATTCTTACATAAACTGAATGCACTCGACTACCTGCTTGCTATAAATTTATACCTGTTCATGACTATCCGAGAAAGGTTTCATCTACAAGAAAAGAAAATAAAAGTGTGTTTATGTTCGAAGAATATGCATCAGAAAGTGTCACAGAGTTAACTGAGAAACACAGCGGTCCGTGGAAGAAAATTTTAATAGTTTACATACTTATATTATAAAATAATTATTAATTTCTAGATAAACATATGTAGAAAAGTATTGAAATTCCATGCTTTGCTCAGCTGTGGTTGTGTAAAGCTGAAAGTTTCTGTAAAGTTTTTTAAAAGTAACCACTTACCTATTTATCATTTTGTAGAACTTAATTGGAATATATATTTACTTAAACTTATTTTAAAATCAAGTATTATTCGTTTTCAGAATAAGTATATAAAACAGACACGTTGTGTATAAAAAGGTAATACAAGAATTATGCTATCAGTACATATATGCTCTAAATTGCATATACATATAATATTGTTATTCAGACGTAGTGTTGCCTGAATTTTTAAATTTGTTAATTAGATATCGATTTGAAGACTTATACTAATATAAAATAAACTCTCTGGTATAAAATCGACGTAAGGTACTCATAAAGGAACAATTTAGCAATTTTGAATATAAATATAGGGCGTCTTAATTAGTTAATGCAGTTTAGCCAGTGATGATAATAAAGATAAGAAACAACGTTTCCAAAGAAAATTATGTAAACAACAATATTTGTTATAAATAAGTCTAAGTATTGTTCGAGATAAAAAATAAGTGAACGAGTTTAGACCATATGTTTCTTTGGGTAATATCGTGGTGGACCAGAGGCTAAATCGCCCGTTCATATGCAGAAGGAGGAGGAAGAGTCATAAATACCAATGTGAAATTTTCCAAGTTATATATACTTTCTAAGATAATTCTTGTACGAAACATCGTGCGGAAAGCTGGACTTATAATTTTTATTTCTAAGTTTGAAATCATAAATCCGCCAGCGTTGTTAGCTTTGCCTTTGCTCAGTAGTGGGCACTTGAGGCTGTTTTTTTTTGATATAATTATAGTAAATACCTACGTACTCAGTTATCCTTTATTAATTAAATGTCGTCCTATATACGCAGTTCTAGCTAGATAAACTGCCTACCACTACGCCTAGAAAGATGACTGCCCATCGAGATAGCGCGTTGATCTAGATCGCTAGATGCAGTCCGTATGATAAGCTATCGATACTATCATTTTTAAATTACTTTTCAGTACGTTTTCCTAGACACACGATACCTACTTAGACATTTTACAATACGACTATAGAATACTTGTTGTTTCAAGTAATTCTATAGTAGTAGTATTTAAAATTGCAATAACGACTGATTTCTGTGAATGAATTATTACTCACATATAATAATGTGGTATATATGTACTTGATTTTTTTGAAGTTACTTTTATTTTATAACCAGTTATCCATATAAAGTTACCCTGTCTAGAATCACAATATCAACGATGAAGTATCCACATTATGCGGTAGATTTATATCAATAATCAGTTGGGTAAAGTTTGTTGACACTTTCCCCATTAGTTTGTACATATCTGTTCCGGATTCCGGAGAGTCGCGGAGTTGCGGAAGCCTCTCTAGTGTCATACGTATACTTATATGACGGACTAGTGTTGTATCAGCTGTATCTCTGAGGTTTTTACTACAGTGTCGTGCATCGAATTACGGGTCTTGTAATTTAGTAATCGTAAGAGCATCGATTTTTTATTTAATTTGCTTATCTGCCTCGCAAAGACTTCTGTCGATACCTCGTTTACTTTGGTTAAAAGGCAAAGGAAATACATAGACCTAAGCATGGCGGAGACCTCACCTACATATAACAAGTTTGCGTGTTCCATATTTCAGTAAGACGTATGATCCATTTAGCAATAATGTGACGTGAGACGGTATAACAACAATTTCCTAGTACCGGAACGTGCTTAGTGGCGTGCGTCGCCTCGCTAAACTTGTTTAGACGATGACATCTACTAGTCGGTAAATGTTTGCACTTGTGGCGCCTTACTTAATGGTTTCTTGCCTTACAGCGCTTCAAGCGCTACACATCACAAATAAAAACAGCGCATGCAGTAGAACACTGTCCCATTTTCGCTGCAGTGTTGCTGCCATGAAATTCAGATATTTTAGCGAAGCTTTTTGTTCGATTTGTTGTTCACAAAAAATGTCATCTGTGAAAATCTGCCAATTCTTCGTGGAACGTTTCAAATACAGTACTCTCAGACTCCGACAGTGAGATTTTATACTGCGGCGTGCGATCCAGCGATTTTAAAGTTCCTATGTATTGCAAAGTAAAGTTTTTAAATGCAGCTAAACTCCAATGAAACTTTGCTTCGACGTATTATTTTCTTAAGTCGACTTTTCAATTTACAAAGATAAGTTAAAATAAGTTTGATGTCCCTATCAAATAGAAGACTATAAAGCAGATTTTTTTAGAAAAACCTTTTTTAAGACTAGCTAGTATCGAGGGAATCTGACGTTGATCCTGACGTAAAGGTTCTTCTGATGTTTCTAAGGGTATTGATTGACGTAGAAACTTTGCATAAAGGTAGCTTATTCTTATACTTATTATATACTTTACTTGGCTGGATAACAATTTGCACAGGGATATGAGACGGAATATTATTTCTTTCCTTTATTTTATTTAAGCATAATTAGAATAAATGTTTTGCTATAAGGTACGCAGCAATAACAACAATCACGGGTATCATGATAAAGCTGCAAAATCGTAATATGATCGTAAACAAAATTAATATCACTAGCTGAATATAGTAGTGGATCGAAATCGTTCCCGCGGGAATACTCGGAGCCAACTATAGGTACGATATTTGGTGTCACGCATTGTAGGACATTATTTACTGCATCTATTGTTGTTAGCCGACGCCTAAATGTGCCACGCAATTTATACCCTTATTTAAATATGCGTAGAAGCTACGGTTTTATTGGGTTTCTATAGAATTTCTAAAGGGTGGTTCGAATATATTGTCAAACTTTTCACCGTCATTTGGGTAACGTATCAATTACAAGAAGCCATTAATGTGTAACGTAGGTTCGAGCAAACAGATTTTACATTTCGTACTCACATATCTATTATAGTGAATATTTTAGCGTACCTTCATGTTGTATTGTTACTTGACAAAAATATTTAATAAATCCTGAAGTTAGAACTAGAATTTCTTATTATTCATTTTCTAGATGCCTTTTTAACAGCATCGTTGGACTTGCGTATGATAAAAGTCATAGTAGTTGGAAGATGTAATATTTAGGGCGAAAAGTAAACTATACAGTAATATAGAGTAATATAAAAAGTTATTGGAGTGTGACATCAAACCTCATGGGATTGTTCCTCGTGGCCGGGCAGGCCGTCCCTCACGACGTAGTGAATGAGGTCCATGGCTCGTCGCATCTGACAGAACACCGTGTCCCGGTTCTCGCGTGCCGATGCGCTCGTTGGATGCCTCATACATGTCTGGTGAACACAAATACTCTGTTAGCTTCATATGAAAAACAATATTCTTAAGTTAGTGTAACAACTAATCGAATACGTTTCTAGATTTTTTATGTAATAAAACTAAAAATTAAAAACTTAACGTTAACGTTTAATAAATTATTTCTAGATAACTAAATATCCGTATTTGTTGTATTAATTATGAAATAGACCTGTAAGTAAGATTAGAAAAAGTCATTATTTATATGCTAGTGTACCGTTCTCTTTTACCTGTAGCCTCTTTATAGTACAAACAGCTTCATTTTAGAAATCTTTTTCTTTTTTCCGTGTTTCTTTCGTCTGAACCCGTTACTCGGGTGCCCGAGGCTAGTCTGTCTAGAACAAATATTTAGCTAGTCTCAAGACAAAGCAACCGCAGCAGAAGACTTGAATGGAGACCTATCAGTGACCAGCGTCTGGCTTAAAGGGCCACACTCTGAAGGTAAAGAAAAGAAAAAAAACTTTATATTTATGTGAAACTATCTACAACTCTGAGAGCTAATTGTTTGCTATTGTACCCTGTACTTAACTTGTTAATGACACCAAAATAGTACTAATTGGACATTGCATAAAGACATTTTTAATGTTCTATTAAAAATATAACTTCTTCAACTGAAGCAAAATTCTATTTTGAAGGAGTAGAAGGTCGACATTGAAAAAGACGACATACAAAGATAGGCTATGAGTGTTTTTATTGCTAGAGTTTAAAATGTATTGTAAAAATAACATAAGTTCTAAATGGAAGAAAAATCACGAGAATTTATGAGACAGTTTAAAGAGCATCATAATAACATCGAGCACGCGTCGCTTGTGTCCGCTGCGGTTGTAACGATTCCAATCGAAATTGCACTTGTGTGCCATTCACACAATCGTTTAGTGGCTAATAGTAGCGATGGCAAATTGTCAGTTGCTATTGTAGCGGCCTACATTTTTGCGGTTGACTTTCTGCGAATAGTATTGATCGAAAAATTGCACGAACATTATAATTGCACATACTTCGTACAGTCCCGTTATTAATACGGTAGAATAGTTTGGACTCAATATAAATTACTCGCGGACTACATATACGATCACTTGGCGCGAAGTTTGTGCATACTTCTGCTTCATAGTCTGAGCTGGCGGAAGGCGTCGGGAACTGCCACATAGGTGCTGCAAACTTGTGCACGTAGTTGCAAACGATTAAATTGTTCCACTACAATTATAATAATAGCATACTGCGGTTTTAAGCGAATTGTTAAACTGTTTATTAAAGTTTCATATCTATGTGGAGCGCTGAAAAAAATGAAAAGTCTTGTAAAATATGTCATGTGAATGGCTGGGGGAGGCATCGGCGTGCCGCACGCTCGACGCTCGGAAGCGCTGACAAATTGCTGGCTTTGCCATCACACAGTTGACTGCGATTGTTCACTCACCCCACTCGTGACACATTTGACACTAGTAATACAATAAATGTGCAGATGAAGAAAGATACAAGAAGCACTAGTTAGAACATCAGACAAAGGCTCTGAAACTACTTATTACTAGACTACAGTATTGCTAATATTTTCCTTTGTAGTTAATAGGACGGACATGTCAACATCAAATACAGCTGATGCGATACGGATCTTTATCCACTTCACATAACGAGGCCATTAACTGTATTACATCGTCCCCTTGGCAGTTTTTGTTCAGTTTAGCAAGTGACCTATACCTTGGACAAAGACGGATCCTTCTCATGAAACATCGCTCTCGAAACTTTACGTTATCAGGGCACTTAAGATATTTCATTTCTTAAGTCCCAAGGAAATAAAAGTGCCCGGTCGTGTTTACTTTGAGCAGTTCGGTCTTTAAAACAAGATGGCTATTCTTATCTCTTTTAGAAAATGGCTTAATTTTAAAGCATTTTTGAGACATTTTACCGTAGTAAGAGATACTATTCAACATGAAAAATTTATGACCATCTGAATGGGTAGTGTATATCAATTTTCATCTAACCCGTTGACTGCTGACAGAGCTAAGTCACAACTTAGCAATAAATTAGGCCTTGTTATTGGCATTGTCTTATGCAGTTTTGAGCACAGAATTAGTATGAGAAATGGTCGTCCATAAACTGTGATGTCACAAACAAACGCCGAGTGGTCCGAATTGGGTTTGGAACCTACATAATTGATAGTAGGAGCGGCGGTCAAGCGACAGGGCTAATTTACGCGAGCCACGGGCCTCATCGGACACTCGGATTGAAAATTTATTACTGTCCATTGGTGTTAATAACATACCGTCGGCACATCAAGGTGCTTTATTAAGGGTTTGTCAATTCAATGACTGTTCACATAACCGTAATTGGATTTGGCACTCAAGCGAATACATGTAACAAATGGAAAGGTATGCCTTGCCACTGATAAAATATATAAATAATAAAGCAACTACAGTTTCGTAACCAATACATTTGGTAAGAGGATTGGGCTGTACGTTTATATAATGTTATACGTGAGAGTGTTCGGCAAAATAATGATACCTATTGCAGCTACATATTATTATACATATACACATATTAGAAGTTATTCGCAGACCAATAGCAACGTTTGTTTCTACAATTGTACACGGACTTATATAACAGAGTTGTAATTAGTATTTTCAAACACCAGTTTAATTTGTGTGTACGGTACGCAATTTTAAGTGAAACCTTAAAAAGCATAGTTAACCTAATTCTGAAACTGTATGTAGTTGTAACTTGTATTTTCCGTGACTTTTTTGGGAAACGTTAACGAGTTTTTGTTACTCGTAATCTATACTAATTTTATAAAGCTGGAGAGTTTGTTTGAACGCGTTAATCTCCAGAACTACTGGTTCGAATTCAATAAGTATTTTTGTGTTTGTTAGTACATTTATTGAGGAAGGCTTTAGGCTATAAAACATCAAGCTACATTCTGTAGGAGCCGAACAGCGAGTGAAACCGCGCGACAGAAGGTGTGGGTGATAAATATTGACGGTAGTAATTACCTTCGAGGAAGTGAGAAGCATCAGTGTGGATCGTTCGAGAACGTTTCTGGCAGCGGCTACTTGTGCTCTTCTTCTCTCGTCACGCAGGTCTGCTCGTCTCTCCGCCGTCAGTCTCGCTAGCTCCACCATACCGCCCCCGAACTCCGTGAACGCGCGCACAAACTCCGCAAAGTTCGACACCGACTCCAACCGGTCCAAGGAACGGGCAACCTGTCGCATACATGGAAGATGTCACACAGCTATTGCAAGCACTATATTCGAGTGTAACGTTGTACGTTATTTCTTTAAAATAATATTAGGTTTACGATATATGAATACAAAGACGAACGAACATCACACATGTACAAACTAGGAAACTACAAACCACAAGGACAGAGTTATCCCACGAACTTTGCTAATATTGTAATAGATACCTGCCTCGTGGGATTCGAAACGGTTAGCAGAATTTGCTACATGTTCGCGCACTGCGCCACTCCAACTGACTTACGAAATTATGGGACGTCGTATTTACAAATACATCCGCACTCGTCGGTCGTTCCCGTCAAATAGGTCAAGGCCTTACTTCGGCACAGAGAACGTTGATCTACGAGTAATTCGACGTGGAAGCTATTTCCATATAACTTTGTCCATTAATAGCTTACCCTTGGATTAGGAAGGTGATATAAATCTAGTTATAATTAGATAAAGGATTACAAAGCCATTATCGTGAGCACAACTTTATCCGTTCATTCGATTTCGATTTCTATAGTTTGGTGACATTGTTCTATTACGTGGTTTAGATAACAAACTTCAAAATTGTATATAATTAAAATGGTGTATAGTTAATATTAACAATGTCCGAGACTGAGATCTGTGTTGATTGGATTTCAGGAAGCTATTATTTAGAAGTGTATTTCGGGTAAGCACACAATAAAACGGACATCTCGTAGCTTTTAAATAACATCATAAAACAGTCGTCAGAAGGGTGTTGGCGTAGAATTAAGATGAGTTATACAAATAGAATAGGCATTTGTAATTACTATGGAACATAACGTTACCTATGCTTTTACACATTGAGCCGTACAGTGGTGTATGATTAGCTTTATGGTCACCAACATTTACATATGTTGGTTGTAAGATACATCAATAAATTATTATATTTTACAACTGGATGTAAACTTTTTTCTAACGTTTCACGTGATTTCAGGGCCTTGGGTTTAAGGTTTAAATTTAATTGTACCGCATAATTATATTTATTTAAGGGCTAATTTTTCAATAGTACAATAAATTTTATTGATTGATAGAAGTATTGCTGTCACTGTCTTATACAAACATTCTGACGCGACAGCATCATAATTATTCCGCAGATAACTATTATCTAACCATTGCAAAATCAACCCTAAATGGATTACCTTATCTTTGGCCAGTAGTAACTGTCGTACGACGACCATGTCGGCGAGTAATAGCACCCTCGTGACTGCGGCGAGCAGCGCGCGCGCCGCCGACACCATGCCCGCGCCGTCTGCTCCTGCGCACACGCGCTCGATTGCGCGACCTGTGCAACAAAACAAAAAATCATATACATTTTGACCCGATAAAGATATAATATTATTTTTATTTCACAATAGTCCTTAATCAACCGGTGATTCTCCTTGGGTGCACTTTCATAGTGCATACTCGTACAAGGATAATTGCTGGCTGATATTCCATTTAACTAATACTAAAGTTGTTCAAAGAGCCTCTACGAGTTGGCTTCGGCCCCTCGTAAGCCTTCCGAAGGTCCGAGACCCTGTGATCTCGTGAAAAGAATCGAACAAACAAAAAATAATAATGATCATTTATTTGTCAGAATATCGTATACCCAGATTAATGTGGTCTTAAATTAAACATATTCATAAAATAATAGAATGCATACATAAAATATCTGGCACGTATATCTCTAAGTAAATGTAACCGCTATTATGTGTGTCACCTTATTTACTAAGTTTCTTTTTCCATTTAGATTTTACTAACTGCAACCGAGGTTTTAAAAGATTAGTGCTTCAAATCATATTTTGTTTTCTGACGTCTATTGATGATAACGTAGCCACATCTAAAACAATCACCGAGTAACCAAATTGATTTTGAAAGCATCTCGAAATTGTAAGAGAAAAATATTTTCAGCGAAAAAAAAGTACCAGAGGCTTTTGTTACCAGTATCCGCCGAAACATCTTCACAATACCTCTGAGAGTGTATTTCGATATTTTTGCAAACAATGAAATGGATTCGCAATGGAATTAATTGGAAAGCTTATACAGAGAGCAGTTATCAATTTATTTATTAAGTTCATGTTGTTTATGTGTCTTGGCAACAGACCAGAGAATCATTCCGACGTATTAAATTCGTGGGCCACTTATTATGTATTAAAATTATTGTATACATACATATAATATTACCTATCTGTTGCACACCGCTTGCCTGCAGTTAGTTAAATTTTATCACGTATTTTAACCTCGTTTTCGGATCACTATACTATCTGCTTTGTTTCAAATGAGTTATTAGCTACTTGTGGAATTGAACTTAGGTACAGTTCGAATTCTTAAAGTTTTATATTAATCCACCAAATCCCAAGCTAATGCTGGCGTTTGCGCACCTATTGTGTCTGAATTCAAGGTTGAAAAATCTTTGTACCCATAAGTAGAAATGCTATTCACAATTGTATTTTCAGATCATTATGGCAACTTTGTGCTTAGTTTGATAGGTTTAATTTTTATATTTTAATTAGTTACTCTTATGCAGTTACACCCGCGGATCTTACAGATCCAAGTGTGATATTTTATAGCACACATATATATTGTAAGTTTGTATGTAGTTTGTAGGTAATCTTTGGAATCGCTGATCGGATTGCCAAAATTCTTTCACTGATAGATAGCTGCAATGTTCCTGAGTGCTATAGGCTATAAAACGTCCGCCGAGTAGCAGGTGAAACCGCGTGAGAGTAGCTAATGGACTAACAAACGCAAAAAGAATTGTTCAATTCGAATTCGTTTCGGAGATTATCGCGTTTAAACAAGCAAACGGTAATATAATTAATAGAATGAATTACTTGATCAATATTGAAATCGATCACGGTATTGATACTTCAAGTTTGTATTTTAGATCAAAACTTTATCGGTACAACATGATACACATTACTGTGAGTCTGGGTAAGATGCATGCGGTATATACCTTGCAGCCTAACGAGCTTTTGACGACCGGAGAGAAAATCTTTCAATTTATGCGGCTAATAGACTCGGATGCACTGAATACGTCAATATTTTACTACTCAACCATGGAGTTGCATTTTGTGGTTAGTGGGAAATATTTTGCTTGGAAGCTGGACAGTGCAGTCAGGTTATAACGCCGCGTCAAATACTAATATGAAACAATTTTTCTATAGTATCTCATCAAATATATTAAAAAAATATAGAGAATTGTTGGTAATACTCATATATTAACAAAATTTGGTTTAGTACGTGCCTATTTTATAACCCAGTTATTATCTATTTTCTTATTTCATGTCCCCAATTATTTATCTTAAATGCATGTGAAGTTAAATCAAATCACTCAACTAATACTCAGTTACACATTTATGTAGGTAATTAAACAAACATAATATGTCATCTAATTACAAAAATACCACTGTAAAAGAAAAAATATGAATTGGTCCTTAATTATTTTCTTGCTTACAAAGAAATACTAGTAGCTTACTACACGAAGCAAGTACTAATGTTCTACGCTACTAAGTGAGTTGCGTGTGTTCCCAATAATAATTATTGTATTGATCAAAATCTAAGTTACACACAACCAACGAAATGAGTATTTATGTCCGTGCGTGCGTCGAGTCGTACATTTAACGGCGATTTGAGCTAAAGGTTAATTGGTGTCAACCATTCCTATTAGCCCTTATTTCTGCTGGTCAATTCTATATGTAAAAAAAAACGTTTTGGTACTTAAAATTTCAAGATATATTTTTGGTTTTTATTCATAACATCGTTTAGTTAATGCGGTTTGACCGATCGGAGTTATACCTACGATTTAACCTAACAACAACAAAATGACTAATGAAATCCATTTATAATTTAATCAATGTTAATTATTATGTAGTTCTGTTCATTAATCATGAATTTGTAATAAAGCTAAAAATGTATTTCACAATTGTTAACTGCAATTCAAGATTACGCAAATTATTTCTCTTACAAAGCGCTAGGTGTAATTAGTGGCGCTGTACAGATCCACCCTCTGTGTAGTGTCGTAGGACGCAGTCACAGAACGCAGGTGCTCTGTTGTTGTTTTTAATGAGCAATTTGCTTAATATATTAGTATTTAGTGCTTTCACTGTAGCAATTTAGCCCCGCTGTTACCGCGGTCGCATAATTTACTGTCTCGTTCCCGGATTAAAATGTTAACGTTAACTGTTACTAACGAACATTATGGTGATTTTATTTTAAACATAAGTTTCTGCATTGTATATTCGTTTCTATTCTAATTAACTTAAAGAGTTTATTTCTTTACTTGTATTATACAGAAAAAGATATAATTTACTATTATGTTGTTTCATCTCATAAGGAATACGACTTGGCATGCTACGTCGTAGCTTACAGGCTACGCATGGCTACGCGTATCAATATAATTACTTACGCAGTTAATTATTTTTGCTTTTTATCATCATTTCATTTACGTATTTATCTATAATAGTAATAATTAAAGTGAAACAACCAGTGCAATTAAAGTAATGACGTAGATTAGCAGTGTCTGTTCGTAGCAAAGTGCTACGCTGGATGCCCTTATTGCTACGTACGGCTACGAGATGTGTATATTTAAAAAATACAAATAAAATGATAAAGGTCATGAAAATATCATTATCAAATAAATAATAATACATTTGAACCCAATTATATAACATAACTATTTACCCCAACCAAAGTAAAATAAAATTGGTACTCGACAATCAGCACTTTCAGTAAAAAACAACCAGAAAATGATTTCCCGAGCGGAAGTTACGAAAGTATCCACCGAGTTGTTCGTTTAGTCAACCAATATCGGAAAACGATATCCACACTTAAATGGAGACATTAACATTTGCAGAAAAACTGGTTACCTACTGGGTAGAACTCATTCGTAATTCAAAAATACTGGGGAAATTGTTCACGGGCGATTGGAGGGGCAATCGGTCTTAAATGAGATTAATAAAGGGAGCTCCGAGTGTGCACCTACATCCTACAATTTATTATGTCTTTGACACTTTCGTGCTAACGCTCCTCGCCTCTGATTCTATTTGGGTCGTGTTCCTCGCTTTAAATACATCCACCGAAAATAAAAATACCTTTTTCGCTTTTCATGGGAAGGCTGTGAGTTAATTTGATTCCAGCTTTTTTTTGTTTTGTACGAAAAAAATGTGCCTATATTTTTCTCAGTGAAATATTGGAATATGTGTGCGTGATTTTTATGTGTTTTTGTAATTTTTTTATTAGGTAATACAGTTAGTATGTAAATATAATTGCAGACATGTGTTTTAGATTAAAGTCACACCAACAAATAAATGTATACTTGTCAGAATTTACTATAGAAGAGCGTTATGATTTGACACGACTGGAAATTTTACAGTATTAGTTGTTCTATGTACATATGCATATATAAAACAGTTATAAAGCGCTTCTGCTATTTAATTATTTTTCTATGAAATAATAGCTGCAGAATGTGGCCACGTGGCCCATCACTTCTATTAAATAGATGCGCCAGTAACGTATTGGTCATTGGTTATGCGGCCACAGTCCGGCTCTAATAGGTCACTAGCTCGCGACCGGAGTGCTAAGTAAAGTCCCAGCAAGTAGGCTAACTCCATCCCTTCCGACCAAGTTTTATAACTCTTCTGACATGTTTATTTAAAGTGCATCTCTATATAAAGAAACTTACAATTATTTCATTCTTTATTCAAATTAGAGAAAATCTGCAGAATAAAAATAAAACATAAAGCAGTACAGATTAAAAATACTGGCAACATACATCTAGCGAATTTACTGTTTTTGTAAAAAAAACAAACCTACCAGAATTTGAACGCGTTTATTTTGGCTTTAACACTAGAAGGTCGGGTCGTTGTTATTTAGTCCGTTAGCGTTGTTTAACAATAAAACCAAAGTTTGGTGTGTGATTTTTAGCGTGTGACATTGGCACGCAAGGTTTGTTCGGCGGGTGCAGGCTTAATTGCGTGTCAACATACCGCTTATTGTTAAATTGACCGCCGGCTGGCGGGTGGTTTAGCTGATAACTCTCCCGAGTATAACTATTAACACGATAACTTTGCATGTTTCGAATTAGAACAATGGCTGAAAGACTAAAACTGGTTAATAGTGTTTTGTAGGGCTCTAAAGTGATTATTTTAATTACAATATTCTACGATACTATATTAAAAAGATAATTAGCTTGCTTAGTGCTTTGTTATGAATTTTCTGTTACAGATTATATACTCGTAAGCAACATGCATAAGGTGCTTACGTATATTGTATAGTTATTTGACAGTAAAAATCTAGGAAAAACAACTGCCGATCGCCCTGCTCGTTTCGACGGTTTGAGCTACTAGGCGTACATAAAACCTAGAGAGTAAAGTTTTTCATTCAGTAGAGTAGCAATTTGTAAATTGGGGTTCACTGTACCAGTAGATTGATAGGCACATACAAAATAAACTGTCAGATATAAAATTGTGGGCCTTTTTGAAACGGTATGAGTTCTTTTACTAACTTTGACTGTACGATGGACGCAGTGGAATTGGCAATTGACTGCCGTGTAAAGCGTGGTCGGTCTGGGTTCGGTAAGAGGCAACCCTTTTAACTCAGTTGCAGTTACAACAACTAAACGCACAACAACAATGTATGTGAAATTAAAAAGTGAATACCATCCTACTTTTATTATAAACAAGAAATTATCTTAGTAAAATTTATGAATGAAATTTATTAAAATTTGGCACTGAAACATTAATGTATAGTCTTTAAAAACACATGGGTTACGTTTTTCCACTACTGGCAAAGCTAGTTATATTGTAATGTTATTTTGAGTTATTTGAAATAGGATTCCAATTATTTGCCCTCAATACTTAAAAACTTTATACGCTACAATCGCATATATGTCACACGAGTTTATTGCTCACATACACACACACACACACACACACACACACACACACACACACACACACACACACACACATATGTATATATTAAGCTTTTGTTATCACACATTATGTTGTCATACTGTAATCCAAATTATCTATAAGTACTGTCATGATTAATGGGCATATAGAAGATAGTGTAATCCCTTTGAATCAATATATTGTCGATGTCATGATTAGGGAAAACCCCTAGAAAAACGTGATCAACTTTTGTAGAAAGGAAATTCAAGGTCATCAAGCTGCGATATTCATACTAAAATGATTCCTAACGCCATAGATTTATGTCTGGGAGGGTCATGTTTCGGCACGTATAGGCTTTTGTTTGTGAGGGGAAACTCATCAAATGTCTTCTCCCGCCCAAGGCCGGGCGGGAGGGAGTGTCAGACTCTTACTGACTAAAAACCCTCTGTTCCTTCTCCTGCTCTGGGCTGAAGTTGCGGTGCCTCATTGCGCTTACCCCGCAACCCCGGTTGGGTACGTATAGGCTGGCTCGACCGTAAGGTTACCACGAACTTACAGAGTTTGTTGTTGTGTTTCCCCGTGTTAGTGAGGTAACTGTAGTCATAATCTGCACAATCTTATCTCAAATCCCAAACTTAAACGGCCGGCAATGCACTTGCAATCCTTTTGGTATTGCGGGTGTCCATGGGCGGCACCGACTGCATGCCATATATGTACATATAAAAGCTTAGTTGTTGGTATCTATAGCCTGGTCTACAGCTGACAAGTAACGTCTGAAATGGATTAAAGCGTAAAGGCCGTGGTGGCATTTATCGTTAGGTTTATTTATAACATAACGTGTTAAATATAACCAGCTATTGTTAAACGTGTCTTTGTCCTCCTGGCCTTTTCCCAATGGGGTTTGGGTCAGTATTATACGTGGGTCCATATTTTCAACTTTCCATTAACTTGTACAGAAGGATCACGCCCTTAATTCCTCGAAGAGGTGGGAAGTAAATATGTAACACCCACTTTTTATCTATTGTTTATGAGGATGGAACTAAGTTCTAGTTATCTGGAAAGGGCAAATTGAGAATGTGATTTTCAAAATGTATATTATTACATAGTGCGTAATATTAATACTTATTACTTTATCCAGGTTTTCGATATAATTAAGAAGGTTTTTGTCGCGAATCGACTAAAGAAATGATATTTTGGTTGACTGCAGATGAATAGAACTAACACTGATGCCTCTTTACAGTTGTGAAAAATGAAAAGCCAATTGTTGAAAAACCATCAGAGATCCTTGTACAGTTGTATTTCACAATACGTGTTTGAAATGTTAAAATATGATTTTTGCATTCTGCGTCGAGAGAATATCGGCTATCAATTTTAATATGAATAGTAAAATGTAAAAGCTACAATTGTTTTCCAATTATCTCGAAATAAAGTTTAAAGCATCACAGTTTCATTATAGTTTTAAACCAACAATTGTTGTTAATTGTATTGCAGTGTAACGGAATGCCTTTATTTATTTATCAGCGACGGCCGACAATGCACATCGATTTAATTAATCGATACCGTCCGAATCGATTACTGTACTTTCACGAAACAATGGAACGAATGTTTCTTTGTACTGCTACCTCTATAGGGCTCGTTAGAGCTTTTCAATAGTTTCAGGTTATTTTCCTTTTGTGTATTTATATGATTTTTATCGTCGGATAAGTATGTGAGTGTGTTGTTCCAAGATTGTAGATGTAATTTTTGATAAGCATTATAAATAGGTAAGTATCTAGTGTATGTATGTATAACATGTGATTTAGGAAATTTCATGAGGTTGAATGAACACAGTTTTTTTTTTCTAGATTTTGTTAAGTATATCATCACTACCTTCTGCAAGTTCCTTCGTTGGTAGTAACTGCTGGGTGAAAATCAGTGTTTACACACACACATACACTCACCTGTATATTATTCCAGACTAGTATCTATCTCTGTGCCAAATTTCTTATAGAAACGTTTAGTAGTTTTCACGTGCGAGAATAACAAACATTCGTCCATACTTACAAACATTTGCGTTTATACGATAAACTTCAATTGAACTCGATACTTTAGCAATAGTCAGGCCTAACATATCGATTTCATCATTTGGGAACTGAAGTAGGCCATTTAGGTACTAATTTGGACAATGGAAATCGAATTAGTTCGCTAATGAGCGTGTCGCTTGACAACCTCAATTTAAGAGGGCTTCTGCGACTCAGTTAAAGTCACAAAATATGTCTAGAAAATGCTATAATGTTTTCTTTTTTCGTACAAAATATTTTCCAACATTTAGTTTTCAGAGTCTTTGTTTCGAGTAATTGCGGTTGTGATTGCCAAACAAGGGTTTTCGTTTGATTCTCGACTCTAAGTATAGAAAAACTAACCTTACATACTCGTATATAATGCTAGAACATATAATGTAAGATTGTTTGCTTAGTTATCCTTTTTTATGTCATAGGCCGGCACGATTTTTATGTAAACGTGAAGACGGATTACCTGATGGTAAGCAACCAGCGCCACCCATGGACACTCGTCGTACCAACGGAGTTATTACAAGTGCGTGACCGGCCTTATGTGGGTTATTAGAGATTTAAGGAGAGGGAATTTGAGGATTGAGGTAACCTCATTCACACGGTGAAACACATCTTAAGTGTTGCTTCACGCCGGTTTTCTATGACGCCGTGATATCACTCCGGTCGAGCCTACCCATTCGTGCTGAATCATGGCTCTCCCACACTTGAACAAAGGTAAGCTTAAATATTAACTTTTCAGCCTCTCTTCTGTGTAAAAGATTTAAATGAGACAAAAACGTTATAACATTTTTTAAAGAAAGAATAGCAATAATTGCTTTAAATAAATGTAATTATGGCCGCCGTTAGCATTGTGAAATCAAAATTAATTGTGTCAATTAGACCATTTAGGGGGAGTAACGACTGCCTTGATTGGAATGCGCGTTGGTCACCCTAAGTTTATCCGCCCTACGTATTATGAGTTCGTGACTTGAAATCTAATTAAGTTATCATCGCCACGTATGTATGTACGTACACGAACAATATGAACTTTATGTTCTATCCTATCTCACTAATATTATACATGTGAGTTTGTGGGAATGTAACTCATTGTCGTAAAACCTATGGAATGGTATATATTGAGGTAGAACTTTTGTGTGTTTAATTTCTAAATTAAGACGTATAATGTGCCCATAACAATTGAGTAATATTATTTATTATGCTTAAAGAAGACTATTCATGCATAGTTTTTACAATACATAGTTAAATCTATTATTTTACTTTAATTGGTAGTAATAGTATGACAATTAATACAACACTGTTAGGTGTTCATAATGAAATAAAAAACAGTTTAATTTAACTTTTTCTAAGTATAACTGAGACGTTGTCAATTAATAAAAAAAAACCTAAGTGTCATAAATATTCCTTCCAAAATGGTAAGAAAAAAGATATACCTATAGCATTTCCTTTCTAAATGTATTTTTTTTGCTACTACGTTCCCAGGCTTCAGACTATTGACTTGTCAGTGATATCATACACGAAATGACAAGGAAAGAAGCACGAGGTGTTCTTTTTCTAATTTCAAATATTTATTATTTATTTTTACAAGAGACAGAAAACAAATGACACGTCAACAATGTGCCATTCGAAATGACAAGGATAGATATGTATCTTGTTCTTTTTTTAGACAATTCTTTTTGCGAGATAACTTTTTTCATGACATAATATTGTCGATTTGTATTGATTTATGATACATATAGCTGCTGGATGTTGTTACCAACCGATATGAAAGTTATTTGGAAAAGTCTATGTGGCTATGGCTATCAACAATGAGTTTTGCGACTAACACGACTATAATAATGATAAAGGAACAATTTCTAGATCTAGAGAACCAATTTAAAAATTTCACATAATTCCTATATTACTTTGTGATATAATAAAACTAAGCTTATAATTAAGGTAACTTTGATTAGGGTTAACAAAACGAAACGTTTAGGTATTCAGTATTAACACAAGTATACATTAGCGAAATAACTTTATCCTACAAGAAGGTCCCACTCGACTCTCACACTACATGTATCTATAAATAACAAATTGGATGGTAATAAAACAAACCTTTTTACAAACTTCCTGTTCATATAACGCATCATATAAATATAAACACAATCATATATCCATTAAGTATATTTTATGAGTGTTTGGTTCCTTATACGGGGGTGAAGGATAATGGAGACAGGTCGTTAAATCTTCATAACACTTAAGAAAATAGCCGAAAATGTTCCCGACAGGAAACTATTGAGAATATTGTGATGCTAGTGTGACATGAGATACGATCAGAATACTAACGTGATGGGAAAAATATTTTAAAACATACATATATTTTTCTTCTAGTGTATCTGAAAATGGGATCAGATTGGTTCATACTTATTCGAAAACAGACTCGTAATCTCCGCACATCTTATACACTGGGAGCTGTCTCTGGCAATACGAACGTAACACTATTTTAGATAATTTAAATGTCTCATCAGGTGTTGTTCATTATATGGACTTTGTGTAGTATAGAACAAATTTCCGTGCATTTAGGCGTTTTTGCCATACCTATTATGCAAACTCGTATAGCTCACACATAGCTCCCATTACAATAGTAAATTTTCTAATGACTTGAGACTTGAGAGTGTCAGACTCTTACTGACTAAAAACACCCCGTTCCTTCTCCTGCTCCTGAGGTCATCCATGGAAAAATATTGCGCTTGGGTCGAAACCTCGGCTAGCAATTTGCTATTGGTTAATATACAGAGTGGGCCTACATTCCGCTGGTTACATCCAGCTCCAGCGGTGAGTCGAATGTTTATAAAACGCAGCCGAAGAAGCCATAAACATAAATTTGCTCGTAAACCGTTAATCTGTACAGACTTGAGTTAATACACCGGTGTGTGTCGGCGCACACTAATGGATGCGTAAGAAAATTGACTATTCATAGCATTAGCTAATGCTTTCTACATTTTTATGAGCTTCGTAAAGCTTTATAAAGTCTAAGGTTTTTAATTAATTACAATCTAGTGCCGTGGTTGCGTTGTGGTCTAGTTAGTGTTATTATTGTTATAACAAGTTTTAATGTTTATTTATGTTAATAATTTGTAAAAGAGTAAGCCACTGCTTTTACATTAAGTAACAATCAACCAATATACTTCAATATTAATCATATTAATAGGATAAACTGAAACAATTGAAACGTAGGAAAGGGTTCATAATTCATCACCGGTTAACCGCCCACCAATTAGTATTAATACGAAACTGAATAGTTAACGAACTATTAATATAAATGAATTCATTACTAATCAGTTTTAACGAAGCTATTTGTCAAGTAAATTCTCTTCATGGCTTCAGTGATTATTAAATAATTTCCCCTTGTTTGATTTATTGTGTCAAATAAACGAGCAGAGCGGGTGAGAGGAATGATTATTATTAGGTGTGACACCTATCCGCTTCCGTACTCAGCAGAGCTCATTAATTTGTCAGACTCTGTATCAGTTCCGCTTGTCAGGCATGTCATTGGCCTCCGGAGAGCACTGGATGAACTCGGACATTTTGACAAATTGTGCGAATGGCTGTTCAGACCAACGTTGACGCTCTGGAAGTTCTAGAATATTACAGTATTATGAACACAGGTTATAACAATGGCACTCTAACCATCCCTGCTAGAGTAACTTCACCGAGGTATGTTAGACATGTTTAAGAGTACACATAATATAATAATAATACGAATAAGAAAACAGAACGTTTCTTTCTTGGATAAATCATGCAATAGCTGCCTACGTGCCAGTTACACAATACACGATCGGGAATATATCGCAAAGCCAGGCTTTTCTAATACGGGCCACGTGGTATTGTGGGTAAGGCTGGTCGCACAGCTGTGGCTTGCGGACGCTGCAAGTGAGCAAATCCGCATTTGTGAACCGACGCCATTTGTGTCCCACGCCATTGCGGATTGTGGCAGTCCCGAAAGTAATGACGTGCCGCTGTCGTCATAAATTCTCTGATAAAAAATATTAAACACATTCGTGTGTTATTTCCACGCGCGTAATGGTTTATTACCTTGCTTGCGTAAGCGGTGAGCCGCTATTAGGTTGTAATGCTTTGTAACATAAATATTGATAACCTGTTATTGCAAGCGTATGTTTGGACGTACGACTATTTTCCGCAGAGATGATGCTGCTATTTCGATATTATGTTGATTTTATCTTAATAATTGCAATGTAGTTGACAATAATTTTAACGTTGAAATAGAAAAATCGTAAGAAAATTTCTGCCATCCTAGAAACATGTGCATCACATTTATTATTTCTAATAACATAGCTTATAAATACAGTCACGTCTCACTAAACTTTCAGGAACTTACGTGGTGCCGAAGTAGTTACTCCATTACGTACCTAGCGCCCTCTGTAATGAATTTACGTCATCACTGCAATTAGGAACAAAGTTTGAATCACGTCGCACAAACTTGTGAGTGGAATTTAGTGCAGTTTGCAGTTCTAAGAGCATTTTTCAAACTTGAAGATTGAGTAATAACGGTTTTTGGATGAATCTTCAACGAAAGTAAAAGACTTGGCACGCTTTTGGCGGACGTCAGCGAAAAAAATGCATGTTAGATTTTGTCACTTTTCAAATAGTAGACTCACTCAGTAACAGTTCTACTGGCATGTAAACTATAAAAAGTTATAATATCTTTGGATGTATCTATGTATGTCTATAACTTAGTCAATTTTTATTTATTTGTAGTGATATAGAAAATCCCAGGCCAAAATATAAAAGCCTATACAAATGCACTACTGAACTGATTGACTTTTATACTAAATTTATTTTTTCAAAGTCAAATCATGAATTTCGATAGACCACTAAGTATAGCAATTACATCAGCTTTGAACGTCAAACAAAAAATTAAATATCAAAGAGTTCATCTTTGTGTGTCAGTCTGTCGGTTTCAAACTGTAGATTCCTATGGAGAAGAACGAGCAAGAAACTCCATGGTTACTCTGTTTCCATTACATTCACTTTTAGCTACCTAAGTATAGAAGCTGGTTTAGTGATGTAACTTTGGGATGTGGACACCAGTCGAGACCTATGTATGTTAAAGCCAGCCACTGACTGTTTGAGTTCAATGATTCATTACGTTCCGAGCTGGCTGGCTGCCAAACAGTAAATGATAAAGAACTTTCCGAATGTCCCGGCGTTTCGTAATTATAATAAAATGTCATCTTGACGTCTCGTGAGAGGCTGAACTAGTACAGTAATAAAATAGTCTGTCTGATGTATAAAATAATTTGTGTGAATGAAAATTAAATATAAAGTTGATTCAAAACAAGGATACACAAACCAGTCGACGAATTATTCTTTTACAGATTCAAATCTAAATTTAAATATTAGAAGACTACGGCGACATTTGAATTTTCAAAAAAAGTTGAGAAATTCTCATTTTCCTCACGTTTATAAAGAGCGTCATCGACTTTATTTTGCA